TTCGTAAAATCGGTGGAAAGGGTCAGGTGGAATTCAACCAGGATTTAGGCTAGTCGTAACCGGCCGTATTCACAGGAGACCCAATTTCAGTCGTATTCCTGAACGTATTGTATATACATTTGAAACCATTAATGGGTTGGTGCCAGGTGACCGGGGGAGGGGGTCGGAATGAAATCACAGAATAGAGTCTGGTTCTTTAAATTTAACATTTTCAAATGATTACACTATGTTTGGGAACCCGACTGAAATTGGGTCCCCCCGAGTACCGGCTATTCTTTTTTAACAGCTGTGCATCGACGCATGTGCAGTCTGCGTCCCTTTTTTTACGGTGCCACCAAGTCTTGGCTAAATTGGTGCCCTCAAGAGTTGCACTTTTCCCACATGCCCAAGAAAGCAGTGACATTAATCGCTCTTTTATTCTTATAAACTTCATGTGTTTTGCAACACAAATCAGCCTATTGAAGAGTGCCCGGTATTCTGCACGCTACTTTCACGCTGCCATATTGAACAATTTGTACAGTTTGTACAGTTGTCAAAATTGGGCTGTAGGACCCTTTTTAACCCTAAACGCCAAGCATATTGTTTGGCCTACACTACAAAGTATTACAAAATACTAAGTAATAGCCTGAGCCTGAAGGACCTTGCACTACAGATTACTACTTCTGGCTAGGTTACTTCCATTGTTTCTCGTACAGAGAACAATAAAGCCATGCATTCATAGTGCCACAGCACTGTATGGTACATTGTCTTATCTATTGTATCTTATGGCTTCACAGAACAATAAAGTCATGTTCTCTTACAAGGGGCAGCGCTGATTACTACGTTTTACTACAAGTAGTAATTTGTAGTATTATGTAGGGTTAGGGTTAAAGAATGACCCACGTCCAGCATATGCCCTTATCCATTCATTCCCAGTCTTCCTGTTCCGCTCTGTGACTCGAGGCTTATTCGGTTGTTTCCGGTTCCTTTCAGTAATGATGGACATTGCGCATGTCAACAACACGTCCATCATAGCGCAGAACCCGAAAGTGACCGCCATCAATTCCTGCATCGAGGTGGACCTCACCGGCCAGGTGGTTTCCGATTCCATCGGAGCGAGAATATACTCAGGTCGGTGCAGTACACTACAATTTTGAGTGTAGTCCTAAACGAGGCAGACAATGTGTCACAGGGCTATGTGACTTGTCAACACAAAATGAGAGCTGAACGTCAGACTTTTTAAGAGTTCCTGGATAATGCAAACAACAGCTTTCTAACGGTGTATATAAAATTTGGTACAAATTTTAGATTTGGAAATATCTGTGGTTACAGGATCAAGTAGCTTTCTTTGGGAGCAAAGGCGTTTTAAAAATCCCCATTTGTATGAAAAGTCAGTGACAAAAGCCAGCTAACAAAACTGACTCATAATTAACTAAGACAGTATATTGGCCATTCCTGTTGGTCGAGAGTTGTCATGTGGCCAGTCAGAAATGGTCGATAAAGCCTTAGCCGGCTGTGCGAGATCTTATGCAATCTGTATCATGTGCGCCGTTCTCCATATTTTATGTCTTCTCAAGTAAGGAATGTACCTCAACGTAGCTGGAGGGGGTTTGAACAAGAATTGAAGTAAAATTGTCAAAAAACAAACGTTGTTGCAGATTTTTAAGCTTTTAAATTGCGACTCAAAAGGCTGGTCGTAAATGCTCATTTAAGACTAGCTCAGAAGAATGAACGCTGATAACGTTCGTGTCTTTGACTCCGATATTATCAGCATCCGTTCTCCTGATCTGGTCTGAAATTAATGTTCCAGACCAGTCAAGAAAACATTTATTCCCTCAGCAAACATGGTCTCAAATACATGAAATCTTCCACCTGCTATGCAACTTACCTACAAAATTGCTCTGTGTGATTGATGGCTTGCAACTGCAGGTGTGGGCGGGCAGGTCGATTTCATCCGTGGAGCGTCGCTAGGTTACGACGGTCTGGGGAAACCAATCATAGCCATCCAATCCGCAACCAAACGCGGCGAGACCAAAATAACACCCTACGTGAAACAAGGTGAGAGAAATTGTAGCCCATTGTTGTATCAAATATTTGATACTAAAGTACTGAAACATTTGAATATTCAGCTTAGAAAATAAGCAGACAGCCGTTTTCAATGCACACGTACATACATGCATATGTCTGCTGTTATGTGCACGGGATGTTCGCAGCAAAATTTGCGCGAGTTGCAAATTGTTCAACTTTGTGGGAATTCGCAGCGTGGATATTTAATCTGACCCCACAGTGTCGCATTCGTGTCCCCTTTCACGCCAAGGATGAAGCGACTTTATATTATCTTTCCATGTCTGTGTTTGCCGTTGCGCACAGGTGCTGGCGTGGTGACCTCGAGAGCCCACGCGCATTACATTGTGACCGAGTACGGCATCGCCTACCTGTTCGGCAAGAACCTCCGGCAGCGAGCCCACGCGCTGATCAACATCGCGCATCCGGATCACAGGGAGAGCTTGGAGAAAGCTGCCTTTGATCGCCTGAAATGCATGCCGTCTCCATGAAAGCCGCAAACCACCCTTACAGCCAGTTACGGTAACGCGTAAGCATTGTCATGACCAATGGCCTTTCTCGTGATGACAGGGTATATCAATGCGTCTTGTTGTAGCGCTTCGATAGCTTATGAAACGATCTGTAAATGGTGAATATTTTTTATATAAAGCCCAATTAAATCCCGTCACCCGATTGGTGGGTTGTTGATCATGTGTGCATTCAATTATTCGTCCCTATGCACAGCTCAGCCAAACGGGAACAAAGTTCCATTCCATGGTACGGGCCTTCCAGTCCATGGCAAATTAAGTATTTTGTCATTTGTTGAGAGATTTTTTCAGTGCTGGTGAAGGTGTAGGTGAAGAAAATGTGATTCTGGGGAAAAAAAGACAGTTTTTTTGCCAACTACCATAGTCTGAGATTGCATCCTTTGTTGACTCGTTGACACATTGTTAGAAATGAAGTCAAAAATATGTTAAAAACTTCAACCAAAAAGGAAAGCGAACAACAAAAGGGAGGTGGGCAGAGAAACACTAAGCAGGAGGAGGAGAAATAGTTTCTTTTCTAACCTGGCCAAAAGACTTTCAAGAGATCAGTTCTGGAAATAATCAGCGATAACCCAGTGTTGGGGAAGTGTGGTTACCGGTCCATCACATGGAAGTAACTGTGGAGTCAGGATTTGTTAATTCTATTTTGAGATGCAATGTAATCATGTATAGAACAGGTTATTTGAATCCTCTGCGTCACCTGCGTCACATGGCTGAAATTCCATTTGCTCTTCTAAACAACCTGAAATAAAAGTCAATATGTTTGCGTTTGTGAGGGCGATAAGAGTTGTCATAACTGTCTTGAAGATTTGAGATTGTGAAATTTTTCTTCGAAATGTAGATTATTTGAATTTTTTTTGCAATACGTCTTGTTTCCTTAACGATGCATATTTTATTTGTCTTTCTGAGAAAAAAGCTAGTGTTGGAGTGTTCAACACCACGCCCGTCATTGTTGACAGCAAAGAATGATGGGAAGTCAATTACATCATTGCTTAGCCCGCTTGCGTTCTTGCCTCCCTTCCCACACGACTGAACTAAAAAAAGTGCTTTCTTGTGGTTTCTCGCATCGTTCAAGCTGAGCTCAAAGCCCATCATTGCCCCTTAACTTTGTAGAGAAGGTTTTTCAAGCTTTGTAGTGACCGTAGAAAGCTTACCGTAGAAAGTCTTGATTGTCGGCTGAGCCATCATAACGACGATTTATGAAGTACAAATAAACAAAAGAGGCAATACATTTTGTTGAAGTCTAAACATGATGATTGCCTCAAAATACTCTCGACAGAAATATTTTCAAATACAGCTATACTCATAACTTGGTTCACCAGCTGAAGGTAGCCGCCCATTCAGTAGAGGTAGAGACATTTATGGTCTGTTTTGAGCAAGTCATCGATATGCACTTGTACAAGTTTATTCTAAGATGTATAATTTATTCCAATCTTGAAGTGTTCAAAGCGGTTACATCTAGCATACTTTGGTTTTTCATCATGTCTCTAATTGTTGTTCAGGCACCTATTTATCGACTGGCATAAGCAGAAATTTGCAAAATATCCTTCGAATGGACCACTCTGCAGGCTTTTCATAACCCCGCCAAAAATGTAGATTTCAAATATATACATATTTAGACTAATCTGATTAGACGCCATGACTGCGGTGGTACTGCACTTGCACGCACATTCTTCAGCTTGAAGCATGGCATTTGGCAAATTACGACACCCTGGTGGTTAAAGAGGCATGTAACGGGTGCGTGCCACCTGTCCATGAGCGTTGTGCCACCTGTCCACGAGTGTTGCGCCAACGCAGTAATGGCTTCTAATTCTGGTTGTTAGATTATAATGTAACACAGTTGCCAGCAGTTCTGTCCCAGCATATTTCCAGAACACTGTCGATGCCGACACATTAAAGACTGAAGAAGTCTTGATGAAGTGGCATTTTTAATGGAGGCATTTGAAATGACAAAAAAAAAGTACATGCAAATTTTATCTGTAAAAATTAACATTATTTTACACAATGATGTCTTATGATATATGTTTGAATAACAATATTACTTGAAAATCAATGTTACTGAAAGCAAAAAAGCATACAGAGTGGCACAGAATTGATCTGTTTTGTTTCTTAATACATTTTTTTCACGCATCTCCTTTATGTTGGTCTTTGATAAGCTATTATAGATGCTTCACTATTTTGTTTGGTTGTACTAGCCACCTTGATCAAGAAAAGATACAGCAAAAAAGCCAGAAACAATCGAATGGCTGACAAAGATTACCCAGGTTTGACAGGAGTTTGAGTTGGCCATAGTTTCCACCGAGGTTTTTCATTATTCATAGAACCTCAAAATAATCAACCTCAATATGCCTGCTAAAAATATTGGACCTACGGCATAATTTAGCAGTAATTTAGAACTGTAAATGGGAAGGAACATGTTGTCATGGGCCAATTGTTTACTATCATGGTACTTTTTTGTCGGTATTAAAGACTCTGTGTTGCAATGACTGTCTTCATTTTGCAAAGTGCTAACGAGATAACTGTAGCCTCTTTAAAACAAAAGTTAAAAGGGAGAGTACCATTTGTTTCAAATAAGACGGCCTGTAGCTCTGAAATGCATGATGCAGGCTCTGCTTAAAAAGTACAGTTACATGTTGAACAACTTTTATTGTTTTATTCATGCGATGGATTATGAATAAAGTACCGAACAAAACAGAAAATAATAACGGGTAACTCTAAGATTTATTGATTAATAGCTATTGAAGAAAAAACTCAAACAATAAATTTTGCATACACAGGTGCGCTTCACAACTTGGGCTTCACTCGTTGTAGAGCACGTGCGTAGAAATATATTAAGTACAGGGGTGAGATTACGAGATGACGACAAATCCATGAAATATCAAGCAGAAGGGGTGTAACAGTGACCAGAAATTGTTTTGATTTGTTTCGTCACTGAACAACTGACAAGGTACGAGTTGTTTTCTAAATGTTTATTACTACAGGAATTTTGCGCTTGATGCTTCTTTAATATTAGCCTTCAGTACAAACGCACTTTGCAAATGAGAAAATTGTTTATACTGCAGAGAAAGTGGCTTTTTAATCCTTGCAAGCTTTTTGTAAGAGATCTGCCGTGGTGAGACCACTCAAGACGTCCAGCTGGGATACGGTCACATTGAGTGCTTTTGCAGCCCAGGTTACAATCTCCACGGCCATGAGCGAATCCACACCGTAGTTGATCATTGGTTGCTGGGCATCGATGCTCTCTGCTGTTACGAACAGCAGCTCAGCCAGCTTCTCCTTGAGGGCAGTCTCCACATCGTCTTTGGTCTTGGCGACTACCGATGTACCCGGGCCGCGAGTACTGCCACAATTGACCAGGTGGCGAAACATCATATTGGTGCTGTTACAGAACTGGATTGTGGTGCTCCAGTCCTGTGAAGTGGCAATGTAGCAGAGTTGTAATTGAGACCCAGTGTGTTAATCGAGACTATCACAAGACTATCACATGACTCCCCAAGACCATCACAAGACCTACACTAGACCTCAAGCCTGAATTCAAGTCACACGCTATTCCAGTTAACTGCACCAATAGCATGCCTTTGTCATTGTTGACCCTGTTACTCCTGACTGGTGTTGTGAATGGTCTGGTGCTTGGCCTTGTGTCTGGTCTTGTTAATGGTGTAGTGATAGTCTTGACAACAACATTGTTGAGGCTGCAAGACGAGTCAGATGATCAGATACGTGGCCAGATAGAAGACCAGACACAAGACCAGTTGCAAGACCTGTCATGAGACCAGTCACAAGACACAGGGTGAACAGTGACAAGGAAACGCTTGTATTGAAGTTCATTTGAATGGCTTGTGACTCAAATGTGACTGGAAATCTGAGTTGGTCTTAAGGGTTTGTGTGATGGTCCCAATAGGTCTATTCCACAACAGTGCTGTGTAGTAATATGAACAAAGTGATGGAAATCAATGTGCTCAAGCCTGATGCATGAAGAACTTCTTTATGGAGGGTTGAGTAGTAACAATTTTTACACCACATAATATCTTCCATTTACATTTATTGGAAATAGATCAATTTATGTAAAAAATTATACTATCAGCATTTCTCAAATGTCAATAACTTTTAAAGTTAAATTACTAGAGAAGTGATCTTGTTAAAAGTTATTTTTTCCCAAAGTGTTCTGTCATCTGTCTCAGACAAAAGTAACAATATCATATGCTTTCAAAAAATGAAATCTTTCACCTTTGATAAATCTTTTTTTTTTACTGCTAGTGCAGCACACTTTGTGGAATTATTAGTCCTAACCATGAATTTCATTCATCAAATAGAGAGCATACCTGATTAGCAAGGCATACAACTGGTTCCTTGAATCCTGTTTCCATCAGTCTCTGCAGCATCTTCAGGAACTCTACAATATGCAGCGAGTGGTTGCCCTTACAAGCAAATATTCTGGCAGTCTCCGGCTTGCCTTCCAAATAACCTGCTCCACGGATTGGTCCCAGTTGTACCGACAATGCGGGCAGGTCTTGGTGGTAGCGATGCACAGCTAATGCATCAAGGTACGCATTAGCAGCCACGTAGCCTGGCTGTGAGGCATGTCCCCAGGTGGCGCAGACGGAAGACAGAAGGAAAAAGACATCCAGGCTATCAGCCAGGGTCAAGCTGTGTAGATTCTGTGCACTGACTGCCTTGCTAGCCACTATGGCGTCCAGATCCTTGGGTGTGAGTGTGTCAAGTGATTCATCGTTAATCACTCCTGCCAAATGAAAAATACCTCCTAGAGGTGGAGCTGTGCCCCTGAGTTCATTCAGCATATCTGATGTTTGCAGCCGGTCTGACAGGTCGCACTGGAATTGGTACATGTGAATTCCATGTTCTTGGAGATGACCAAGAGTGCTTCTAGCTGATGCTGAAGAAGGTCCATTTCGCGAAACCAGTGCAATGTGGTGAGCTCCGGTAGCAGCCAACCAACGAGCCAATGCCTGGCCTATACCGCCGTACCCACCTGTTATGAGGTAAGTGACTGACGATTTGAACAGCTTCGTCGAGGGTATGATCTGATTGGTGGGAATTTGAAAGTTGGGCATTACTTCAAAGACATATTTGCCAATGTGTGTGCCTTTTGCCATCATCCTGATCACGTCAGAGAAGTTGGCTATGTCGTAAACTTCAGCTGGAACCGGATGCAACCTCTCGCACTCTATGAGCGCAATGATGTCTTCAAGTAAACTGCTGACGAGGGATGGATTGGAACACATCAATGCGTCAATCTGACAGCTGTGGAAGCTGATGTTCTCAAGCAATGGGCTCATCTGGAGTGTGGAATTTTGCAGGATGTCCCGCTTGCCGATCTCGCAAAAACGACCCTCTGGTTTCAGCAGGGCACAGCCTTTGTGGAGCAGTTTACCCGCCAGGGAATTCAGAACGACATCAACTCCTCGGCCCTCCGTCCATTTCATCACGTCTGTGTAGAACTGGTCAGAACGGGAATCAGTGACAAGGGTCAACCCCATGGCATCTTGAAGGTAGTCTCTCTTTTCCTTAGTGCCAGCTGTTGCAATAATTTCGGCTCCAACCATCCTAGCTATCTGTATTGCTGCGAGTCCCACCCCTCCACACGCCGAGTGTATCAAGACCTTCTCCCCTTCTTGAAGCTTCGCCTTTTGGATCAGGCTGTAGAACGCTGTGACAAATACAATTCCACTGCTGGCAGCCTCCACCCAGTTGACATTGGCAGGCTTCTTAACAATGAGCTGGGACTTACAGACAGCATGAGAAGCGAAACAGTGTGTACCAAACCCTAACACCTCATCACCAACCTGGAAACCTATTACTTCCCTCCCTACACTGTGCACAGTTCCTGCGCATTCCAGCCCCAACTGCGGTCCGTCATCAGAGAGCGACAGTTCGTCAAGCATGCCCAGTGACATCATCACATCTTTGAAATTAAGAGCAGCAGCTCTAACTTCCACGAGGACTTCATCTGCATCAATATGCATTTCAGAATGCAGCATAAAGCCAATACTGTCAACTGCACTTCTCTCTTCCCCAAAAGCTACGCCATCATATTTTTCTTGCGCCAAACTCCAGAATTTCTCACCTCTATGTACGGGAAGTTTGCTACCTGTTTTGACAGGTGTAAGACGTGGTACCCTTGGCTCACCACGGCGAACAGCAATCTCCCTGTCTTTCAAGTTACCATTGAGAATCAACGTTGATAGGTGAGCCACTTTCTCTTGTACCCAGCTGCTTGGATCCAGATCAACACAGATTACTGGAATCGGCAACTGGTTGCTCACAGCTCGAGTGAATCCGACCGCCAACTGTGCACTGGTGTTGTGGCACTCGATGCTGGCACCTTCAGTTACAACCCACAATCGGGAGACAGTTTCAGCTTTCAGTGCAGCTGCTTGCACTAAGCTCAGCAGACAGTGTAACTTGGTGTCCAACGGACCCCAAATGTATACCAAATCCACAGGATGTTTGAACTTTTGCAGATTAGACAAGTAGTCCATGTCTTGAGAATGGTGTATAACATCTTGAGGTGACCCCAGGCAATGCTTCAACTCTTGGTTCAGTGCCTCTTGAGATGTGTCTGAAATCAAAACCCACGGGTAAGGCCGAACGAATCTGTCTCCCGAGGCCACGGGCACACTTTGTAATGACCTAGATGACTTGCAACCAAGCATGACACTGTGGAAATACTCATTTGGAGTTGAGCATCCAATGACACCTTCGAAGCCACTCCGTCTGAGCAGCGCTACCCACTCCCGTTGAGACATCCAACAACTTTCAGTGCGAAAATCGTGAAATGTCCAGCACAGCTCGAGACAACCAAAGATCAGTTCTTGGCAGTAGTTGCCCTTGGTTGTCTCCATGACAAGTAACCAGCCACCCTCGCACAGAAGACTTCTCAGGTTGCTGGTAGCCAAAGGCAGGTCAGCTGCCGAATGCAGTGCATCCAAGGAGATGACAACATCAACAGACCCAGGCACCAATCCTTGAGACTCTGGATCTTGCTGGAAATCAAAGATCTGATAATTCACATGGGGAAAGTCTTTTAAGTTTGTCCTTGCACTAGGAAAGAAGGCTTGACTGATATCAGTAAAGAGGTATTGCAGGTTCTCTCCAACACCATGCTTCTCAAGGTTCCCTAGGAGGAGTTTGGCAAATCCACCAATCCTAGCACCAACCTCAAGAATCTTTATTATCTTCTTTTTCTTGGAGAGCTCCTCTATGGCCTTGGTGAGCAGCTCAATTATTGCCTGGTAGTAAATGTTAATGCTGGAAGCACTGTCAAAATAATCTCCGAGCAAGGAGAACAGCAGGTTCAGCGAGGAGAGGGGATTCCTCAGACAATTTGGCAGGTTCTCTCCAAGTGACTTAATCATTGCACACTCTATGGCTGAATCGGGAGCACCTCTTGAAACCTGATCAAGACGATGACATATATCGTCCAACGGCAAGGATTCTTCATTACATGCTGCTAAACTTTGGAGACGATGGCTGTAGCGATCACAGATGCCTCTTTTGCTATGAGGCACCTCCCTCAGAGCGTGTCTTATGTAAGATAGTGCGGCACTGCGGAATATCTCAAGGTTTTCTTCACCTTTGTCGACGGCATGCATTTCATCGGGAAAGTGATTTCGTAGGTACTCCTTCTGAAAAATGTCACTTATCAAGCTCGTTGAGGGCAGTTGTGAGGCGGAGGGCTGCCACTGTGTGACATAGAGGCAAGACTCCAAATCAACTACGCTCTGAGTGCCACTGACATTCTTACACTGACATCCCAGAACTTTGACCAAGATGATTCCCTCCTTGTCTGCGAGGGTGATGTCACCAACTAGATTCCAGCAATCAAAATGAGTAATCTTCGCATGTATTAACAATGGCGCTCCCTGTGGAATGTGAGAGACAAGCATCTGGATCGACTGGATGCAGATTGGGAGGTATAAGGATGTAGGTTGTCCGACTGCTGCAAGGAGGAGCTGAAAGCAGCCATCTAGAGCGGTCACATCCCGATACTGTCCATACCCCTGTCTTGACTTCAGATAACCCACTACCTCCCAGTCTCCCATCTGAACTCTCTCAATGAGCTGAAATACTGGACCATACTTCAAGCCGACTGCCTCAAAGGAGGAGTAGAGATTGTCTCCAGTCATACTGATCGTGCAGGTCTTAAGAATGTCATCAAGAGGCAGTATGAGCCTGTGATTTGGTTGGGGAGTGATTTCATCCACCTCGGCATCACAGACTTTGTGATTGTCGCCCTCAATGGTTACAACTGCACCTCTCCTCTCCAAAGACAACTGGATGCTTGTTTTCTCGCCTAACTTTTTCACCCTTTCTGGCCAGACAAGCATTTTCACAAAATTCAGCTTCTTCAGAATAACAGCCTGTTCCGCTGGCATGCACATCTGAAAGATGTAACTGATGTAACCAGCACCCGGAAAGACAATTTTATCTTGGACTACATGATCTGACAAGAAGGGAAACTCCTCTAGACTAATGCGTCCATTTGCACCTTTGAAAGAGGGTTCCTTTAAGACAAGCCGAGTATGCCTCTTGTCCTCGGCTTCAATCCAGAAGGACTGCCTCTGCCAAGGGTATGTGGGAAGTCTCACCCACTGAGCCGCATCATGTGTGACATGCTTCCAGTTTATCTTGACGCCCAAGGCATAAAGATTTGCCAGGGCCTGGGAGATCACATGCCTTTCATCTTGCTTCCGTTTACCACAAGCAATGCTACTGATCACGTTGTGCTTCGATGCTTTTGCAATCTGATTGATGGAAGAGACCAAAGTTGCAGATGCCCCTATCTCCAAGAAGATTCCTGATTGCACTTCATCTAGGATCTTCTCAACGGCACTCTGAAAGTTAACACAGCCTCTAATGTTAGCCCACCAATAGTCAGCTGAAAAGGCATCATTATATCTCTCACCAAAGACAGTGGAATAAAAGGGAGTTTCATTGAATCTCTCTTCCGTTAAGACCACTCCAGCCATGGCTTCCCTGAACAGTCCTGTATTGGCTCCATATCCGGGGTGTGGAAGGAACACTGGACCCGTAGTTCCTTTGCTAATGTGGGATTCTCCTGGCAGATCTGTTTGATCGAGCTGGTTCTGCCGGCAATGGTTGTATTACTTGGTGCATTAATGGCAGCAACGTGAAGGTTGTCATATGTGGAGCACAATGCTTTCACTTCAGGCAGAGACAGACGAACTGCCGCCATGCTTCCTGTCCCCTTGAGCATCGCTTGCTGCTTGCTCCGATGATAAATGACTGCCACGGATTCTTCGAGAGTGAGGCCTCCACAGGCATAGGCAGCAGCTACCTCTCCTAAACTATGACCCACGCAGACATCTGGTTGGATGCCCCAGTGACGTAGCAGCTCGTACAAACCAATCTGGAAGAAAAGGATCGTGGGTTGGCCAACCTCCATCTCATTTACTGTCTCATCGGACCTGGGCTCATCCTGTACTGCATTTCCAGAATGGATACCATTGAATATGTCCTTGTCAGTTAGCACTGACCAGCCGCTCAACTGACAGAAGAGCGAGTCACACTTGTCTACTACTTGCCGGAATACCTCTTCGGTGTGGTACAGACGTCGGCCCATGTTGGCCCACTGCTGTCCTTGTCCGGGGAAAACGAAGCAGATTTTGGGCACGTCTGTGCCGTAGTGAGATCCTGCTGTGATGCCTTCACCGCTTCCTTTGTCAATGTAAAACTGCAGCCTTTCCCTGAACATCTGGGACGAGTTGGCCAAGATGGCCAACTTACACTCAAAGTGTTTCCTTCTTGAGGCAAGCCAGGACACGACACTCAGGGCGTCATTCTTGTGTTCAAAGCTCAGCCATTTTTTGGCCAAATCTGTCACGGCATTGACAGATCTTGCCGACAGAGGAATCAAGACATATTCTCCTGTCGATGAACCGCCAAACCTCCAACCAGCCTGCAATCGCATGCCCTGCTGCCTTTCATTGCAATTGTAACCTGGAGCCTCTTGTAGGACCATGTGAGCCAAGGCGCCTGCAAAGCCAAAGCTGTTCAGGCCGATGGTAAAGTTAGAGTTTGACGTTATTGGCTCTAGTGTTTGCTGGATCGCTACCTTTAAATTCTGCAAGTCAATCTCGGGGTTAATGCCTTGATAATTGATTGTTGGGCAAAGCATCTTCTTGTCCAGCATGAGGGCTACTTTGATGGCACTGGAGATGCCTGAACAGCACTCCTGGTGACCAAAATTACTCTTAACAGAGCCAATCTTCACAGGCGAATCCCTGTGGGAGATATTAAAAACAAATGGCACATGAAGAAATTTGAAGCAGAAAGATCAAAACTGGCTTGTTTAAACCAATCAGTCAATACATTGAACACCAACCTTTTTTTCTTTGTAGCTTGTCGATGTGCATATACTCTTGGTAACCCTTACAGTAATCAGTCCTCATATTTAAGTAGTTTTTACTCAACCTACAAGTTAGGGTCAAGGGTATTTCAGGGATATCTTGATCACGTTTCTGGCAAATACAGCTTAAGTAATGTATTGTTAACCATATCCTGTCGGGGAGCCTGGTTTCCACCGGGGACAAAAGTGCACCGGCACTCCAGAGATGATCAATACAATACTGCTGCATGCTAATCTGGCCTGTATTGACAAGATGCCAGCAGCGCACTGTACCAGTTTCGGGAACAAAAAAACTTTTGTAACACCACACAATCTGGGCTCTTTTTATAAGGCGGTAGGCCTGGCTGAAATACTCTGGCATAAATGGATGTTGTCTGTCAGATTAGAGTAGCCACCAGACAGTCACTTCATGGGATTAAAGCTTTCAGAAAAAAAAAAAAAAATTTTTGAAGATTTATGAAAACCAGATACTAAAAAATGAGCTGTATGTAGGCAATGCATTTTTAAAAGCACCCGGCAGGAAGTGGTTAACACATGTTTAAGAATCACTACTGCATTCTTTTAACAATGGAAAAGAAGAGCCAACGTACATGATGATGTTGTGAAAGAGAGACGTACTTAATCACACCAAGTTCAGGTAAAATGCCTCCAATATAACGACAGCTTGAAGGGTAGTCCACAATGTTGTCTTTACAGTTAAAATGATTTAGTGAGTCTTGTTAAAATCGGCATTATTTGAAGCTTGAAGTTTTTTCAAAGATTTTGAATTATTGCATGGAACAAAGTATTTGCGTAAACAAACACTGGTTAGCGTAGCTGTCGAATAGGATAGGTATCATCTTCACTTACCGATAGGGTGCAAAGGTAAGACCAATGGCATTAGCTTCGATGGGATCACCGACGGGCGTCCCGGTACCGTGGGCTTCCACGTAGCTGACCTCTGACCTATCAATACCAAATCGCTCGTACGCCTGTCCCATGACGTATTGCTGCGCCGTGTGCGACGGCATGGTCAAGCTGTTGTAGTTGCCATTGGCTGCGACCGCCGATCCTCGGATGGTGCAGTACACGTGGTCGCCGTCTTGGAGGGCTCTGTCCAGCGGTTTGAGTATCATACTACCCCATCCTTCACTGCGGACGTACCTGGAGCAACAATCATGACGGTCAAGTGCAAATAGATGTATATCTAGCCATGAGGTTAAGAGGTGCTATTACATCTATCAAACCTATTCATCAGTCATCTTTTTTACAGGGGTGTTTAAGATTCTTGTACAGATGAAAACAATGGTCACTTTGCTGATTCATTCCATCCCTCCCTCCCGAGCAATAAACCTGTCCCCTGGATATAGCGCATTCAGCCTCTGCCCTTGTAAAGTACCTATGCTCAATCCTGGTTGGAGAGAGGCAAGTGGGGTAAAGTGACTTGCCAGATTCGAACTCCCAACCATCCAATTAGCGTCGCTAACCCTTTGGGGTTTTAATTTCAGCCAAGGAAGAGATTAAATGTTCCATGCAAAAATGCAACATTTGCTTTCAATTTTGGCTGACTTTTTTGCTGCTCTCGGCTTAAACAGTGAGCCAGTTGGGTATTTCAAAAAGCTAGGGTCTACTGGGAACAAAGGGCACGCATGAGTCAGCTTATGGCTGAGCTGAAAGGACTTACTATTGCACGTGCGCGTAGCTGTTCCTGAAAAACCTCGTACTGAGCATGCATTGTTCGAATACCGAACTGGTTCATTAAACAAACAAAAAGACAGGTCCCAATTGAAATATGCGCATAAATATTTACCCATTGGCCGACTTGGAAAACGGGCAACTCTTCCCGTCGGGAGATATCACTCCCAGCTGACTGAAGCCTATGGCCACTTCGGGGATCAACACGGCGTTGCATGCGCCCACCACTGCTGTGGTACACTCCTTGTTCCACAGTGCCGATGCGGCTAGATGCAGAGCTGTTAGACCACTGGCGCACGCTGTGTCACAGGCATAGCTGGGGCCCTGGTGTTGGCCAAATCAAAATGTCACTGCACAGGCCTGTAAGTATAGAGGGTTTGCACAGCTGCCATCTTGCAGGCCAGTGCTTGCGTTCCATACGTTATGCACAAGGGAGGTTTTCTTGTGAGACAAAACAACTGCCCTACAACATGGCTACCACGTAAAGCCTCGGTTGCTTGATTACTGATGACTCAATTTTCATGTTGTATTTTCCTTTTCGATTAATCAAACCAATTTTGTGAAAATAAAGTTCCCCTAAGTTCAGAAGGCACAAAATGGCGGAAATTGCTTTCACCAAAATCTCACAAATTCTCAAGTGATAAATTTTGGATGAACACAAAGAAAGGTTGTAGTTTAAAGCTACAGTCAATATGGCTTAAAGACTCATTTCCTGGGATCTGGTCACACAACAAAGTCTGAAATTGAAAAGTCTAACAAAACTACAACATCCATGTACATGTACCTTGATATCAAAAGCGAAAGATAGCCTGTTGGCGGCACAGCTGTGGGCATTGCCGGTAAGTACGTACGCGTCCATCAAGTAAGGATCAGTAATGTAGATGGAGTAATCAAACAATCCAATACCAACAAACACACCACCATCAGCTCCTAGCTCATCAGACAGAATACCTAGAAAGATAAGGACAGTTCTCACATTGAACATATCAAATGATTATCAACTTTGTAAGTGCTCGTGAGGTACTAGCGCTTAATAAGTATTTCCGTTCATTTGTCTTCTGCCAGCATCTCTGCCGGGATGAAGCAATGTTTGGGGTCTTGACCAGTTTGGAACAACCTTTTGCAGCAAACGGTTTTGTCACGTGATTGGTATCTGAGGAAAATAATTCAATCCAGATTGACGATGTGAAGAAAAAAACCATTAAGCCTCTACTTGTGTGCCATCTTCGGAGCAACACTGTGTCCAAGTACCTGACAGAAAGGACATCATTAAGCCAACTGTCCTCACTTTTGCGTGAGAAACCCCCTGAGTGTCTTCTGCCAGGGCTCACTATGACTTTGAGGCACTGCACAACTTTAAAACTTACATGCTTGTCTAGAGGAATGATAAACCACAGAATAGATCATTGTCAGCATGCATCTTACCAGCATCTTCAAATGCTTCATGGGTGACTTCCAACAGGTGTCTCTGCTGAGGGTCCATGCTCAGTGCCTCACGGGGAGAAATCTTGAAGAAACTGTTATCAAACTTATCAATATCTGGGGGTAAAATATTGAAACAGTGGCTTCAAAATGCAGTAGGGGAAAAAACAATTGAAGAAAATGTTACAGTGTTGGCTTGAGTGCAAGAGAGCCAATTAGTATTGATGGGTAGCAGTTCCTGGTTGGTTGTTTACGTATACCTGTTTGTACTTAAGAACTCATGTGGACACTTTAAATACAGTCCATCACAAGTCCATGCAAAAGTCCTCCACAAGTCATTCAGTCTTAAGCCAACTCACAAGCAATTCAAATGAGCTGTGACAAAAGCATTCCTGGTGTCATTGTTCACCCTATGACTGGACTGATGAAGGGACTTGCAAAAGGCCTTGTAATGAACTCGACTCCAACCCTGCAGTGAGATTGCTCCTTTCAATGTCTGCCCCAAAGTAAGGCAATCACCTTTGATCATGCCGATCCTTCGCATGCAATGCTTGGCTGTCCGAGTGTGGTCCGGGTCATGGTAGTGGTCCACGTTCCAGCGCTCCGGCAGTATCTCCTCCACGACATCCCGCCCGTCTCGAATGACCCGCCAGAAATCCTCCGGGTTATTGACATCACCAGGCATGCGACAACCTAACAAGGCAAGGGACATCAGAATGAAATATGAGAGTCAAGTCAAGGTAAAAACAGGGGACTCTACATGTTGCACCACCTAAGCTACATGTTCGCACATGCACTGGTAATGGATTATTCTAAGAAATTACAGAAATGTGCTGAACTTGAGTCAGCATAGGCCACTCGCATCCTGAATTTCATTCAAGGTGATTTTTACTTTGCATTCACAATTGTTAAGGCACAACGCCAATCGACCTTGTTAGACCTCATCTAGAGTACGGTAGCACGGTGTGGAGTCTGTATACCAAGAAAGACGTCAATTTACTGGTAAGTGTACAGAGGCGTGCTGCACGCTTTGAGTGCGATGACTACTCAAGGAAGAGCAGTGTGACCAATATGCTCACAGATCTTTCCTTTTTGTTTCTTCCTTTTATAATTTTACATTGGTTCTTTAGTTTCATTTTTTATTAATTTTAATGTCTTTTTTTAATAATTGCCTTTCAATTGGGGTTTTTCAAATGTTTTAATTTTTAACCGATGAGATGTAAAATGCAAAATTTGGTTTTCAACTGCGAACCATGTTTGTAAATAAACCACCATTGAATTGAATTTAATTGCAACTCAAAGACTTAATTTCAAACTAAGACACTCTCCAAGGCCTCTTAATAGTGAGACTTTCAAGTGAAGTATTCAAGAGAACAAGTACCAAGTATTACTAAGTGCTAAGTTTCACGTGTGAGGATATCAAACAATGTCGGTTTGGCCAAAGTTGCTTTTTTGTAAATCATTTCAAAATACAACCGCACACTTGAACTTGGCCTCTGCACACAAGGATCTTTCTGCAGGTACCTCCAACACTAATCGCTCATTTCGCTCACCAATGAAGTTATTCACAATACAACCAATCTCTCTGATGATGAGGAAGTCATAATTTTTCACCGATTCACTGGATTACATTAATTTGGCTTCCTCTAAAAGAAAACGACCTACTTGAGAGATACGCGAGTATGCTGACATCATTCAGTTGGTGAATCACGAAACAGTCACATCACTATCTCATGATCAGTGATTCATGACCACGCAGTTTTTATTGATTTACTGTTGTTCTCCCTGCATGAATATTACTCCAGACATGCTGGTACTAGATTTTTGAGGGGAGAATAATCTAAACTTGATAAACTGTAAGATAACTTGTGAAGTGTTTCGTCAGTGTTGGCGATTGGACCTTCCGTGCAATGGGGGGTCAAAGTCTAGTTGGCAAAGTGGGGTCAAAGCAAGGAATGGAATTAATTGTGCAACGCCGAGTTATCTTGAACTGATGGCTGTGTTTCACACAAGTTGACTGACGGAAGTGAAAGTTTGTATAAAAATGATTCAAAACACACTGTCATTGCTCAATATCGCGCAACTTGAACAACAAAGTCATTTTTGGAGCAGAGGAAACAGGGACAAACCTGGGTGCTTTCGGAAGTGTTACCAAGTTACCAATTACCTCGCATGTCTAGTTATGAAATCGGATGCATGGTTTCTCTCTGAACTTTAAGAATGGTATCAATGACAATTTTTTTATGCAGGCCTTAACCTTAAGCTAAGCTTTATTTAACCAGCCACCAGGCAAGTTAACTTATAATTTTTTCCAGCCCACAAGAATTTTCACTAGCCTGCTGGACATTTTTAGCAACACTAACTTTGACGGGCTTTTTCAACTTCATTTATTCAACCTCCACGGCGGAGTCTTGCCGTCAATTTTGAAACTTAAAAGTGATGGATTCAAACCGTAAAGAAGCAATAATAAAAACATCTACATTGATTGTTTTCATCTTCTAAATATGACAAATGACAGCCATAGAATGGGTGGGAATTTCTTTACTCGCCGCTGGGAAAGTTAATGAATGAATTTTACAAGCCCATAGTAGTTTTTACTAGAACTTGTATGCTGGTCTAGTGCTGAGGTCATGCTTATGATATTTGTCAAGTTCCCAACCCAACCAAGCCCAACTACACCCTACTCAGCCAAGCTCAACCCCAGCGCCAGCCCGGCCCAAACAAACCCATCTCAACAAAGACTCAACAAATCTTAACCCATCACAGAAGCAGCTTCAAGGCCCAAATGGTTTTTGGGGAGGGGCACACATTTGGGGAATGAACGAATTTGAATGTCGTTTAATGAAACATGTAGAGTCTTCTGATGGGTGAGGCTGTTTTTTGAGGGGGAAAGTCCCCAACCCCCCCCCAAAAAAATTGATTTGTACCTCCCCAATTACATTTTTAAAAAGTGACTTTAATTACGGGTTTTGTCCTTACAACAACGAATATCTAAAAATGGCCCCTTTCACAGAGGGCCTCCATCAGCTATTGACAACAAACCCAACCAGTCTTTTCACTTAATTCAGAGAAACACAACCAATGTCTATCCTCCTGCATACGCAGAACACATGTAAAAGGTCCATGTAATTTACACACAGGTAGCCAACCATCAAAGACTATTTAACATGATACACAAGCCTTGATTGGTTGAAAGAAGCTGTGGGTGACTTACCGATGCCGACAATAGCTATGGGAAAGAAGTTGTCAGGTGGAGCTCGTCTCCGGCTACTTGTTGCAGCCATCTTCACTCAGTCTGTAGGCAGCTCAATTGATAACTCACAAAACCATGATGCCAGAGAAATCCCTGTATTATCGTTATCAAAACTATCACTTAAAACTTCAAAGCTCCACATCTCAAGTTAAACATTATCTCATGAAATTTTTTGTAAGATAAATTTGTAGCAGATTACGGATTTGAACAACAATATGCACATCAGATGTCGTTTTCCTTCTGTGGATTTTCTGTCATGACATGAATGATTACCATATTTAAATAAATCGCTTTTTTTTAACTGACATTTACTGTGAAGGTTAACCCTAACCCTCCTCAATCCTTCACCTGTTGGTGGACTGAGGAGTGTTAGGGTTAAGAAACGATGCAGAGATGAAAATGAAAATGCAGAAAAGAAAATAACTTAACTTTAATCACGAGGCTGGAGCACAAAATCCGAAGAATCAAATTGTCACTCAACTGTTTTCCTCAAAATATCAAATTACCACAAATCAATTGTGATGATGGTCCCAGTGCAACCGCAGACGCTGAAGCATACAACACACCGGGTAGATTCATGAGAACTTGAATTGTGAGCTACCAACACCCTACCTCTGAGCTTTATAAAGGTTCGTTCGACAGCTCGTAACAGAGGCTTTACAGCAGCACTCTGGATCCTGAATTATCAGCGGCATCTCTGCTGGCAGTTTTCGTCATTCGGTCTTCCAGTGCTCCACGTACGACGGTCCTTACTATAGTGATTCAATCTTTCCACTTCACTTTTGTTATCGCCCAAAAATCCTCCATTGACGGTGTGTTTCTATCTTGTATGAACTTGACATTTCCGCTTTCAAAGTGGGCGTGTTACAACAATTGAATGTGTTCGCTACTGGTACAAAATAAATGTAGAAACTGATGATACAGTCTTTCATCATCCGAAATTCAAAAGTGACAAAGTGCGTAGTGATAAAACTACTTGTATCAAAATGGCATGATTTAACACCATTTTATAAAATGCAAAATCGCTTTCTTGCGCAATGAATAACTGGACCACACCAGATAAAATTTACTATCAAAAATATATTACATCAGAAAATTTCACAATAAACGTGATGGTAAATGAAATACACACAATTAATGACTCACTAAAAAACACATATAAACGTCCTGATTTAAATTTACTTTAAAACAAGTTGAGTTTCTGCATCTAAAATTATAAGTTTTGATTTTTATGTGCTGTACGTTAAATCTTGCTTGTCGATAATGAAGGTTTTTAATATTCAACAAAATTAAAGCAAACAATCTTAAAACTGTATCTGTCCAATCCTTTGAAATAATTTGCAATTGATAATTGAGGACCACGATGACCTGTCCAACTCCATTCAAATGAGAACTTCGCAGAGCAAGTTTTCACCATTGTTTTTTTTCTATAATTAGTGAACGGGCCTTGTGAATTACATTTTGGCCAGTATATTTTAAGCACTACTTCATAAAAAGTTCAATGCTTTATCCACACGTGCACACTTCCTCACTCTATCGAGCCCGTGCAATAAAACTGACCCACAGGAACACGAAAAATTTTTTTCCCAGTTTGGGCACACTCTGGATAAAGAGATTCACATGACAGGCAGGAACATTACATAGCCATCAAAGGCAATAAGCTTTTTGCAACTTACATTTGAATAAAATCTGGTACACTGAGTTATCTGATTGCACATAAACATAATAATTTGAATTCCCCAGACTAAAGGCACGGTTGCTATGCTTCATGATTTGGGGCAAGCATTTGCATAGCGACCACCATCTCTGGAATGGACTGGTTCCTTTGTGCCCTTCTTATCCATAGAGAACAGTGTATTGTTGTAAGGTGTCTCTTATGTAACTAAGGAAAAGCTTGGCCCGAATCACGAAGTATAGCAACAGTGGCTTTTAAGTAGAGAATTCAAGTTGTTATGTTCACGTGAATTTAAAGAACTCAGTGTACCAGATGTTATTCAAATTTAACTCGCAAAAGGCTTAATGCCTTAATGCCCCTTGATGTCCATTGAAATGTTCCCGTAGACAAGTTGATTTTGTAAAGGAGAAACTGCATTACCACTTCAAGAACAAAGTTCTTGCCCTGTTGACACACCCCCCAGCAGTGGCGCGGCGAAGGCATTTCCCCCCCCTCCCCCATCACTACTCTCCTGGCACCGGGGATGTGAAAAATTGATATGACAAACTGAGTTTGTAAGGACAACTGACAGATTTAACCATGAAGCAACTGCCAGCAGATGTGTCTAATCCTCTATTTGCTTTGTACATATGCAAGAAAATCATCGGAGAAATTTGAGGCGGCGGACCATGTGCAGCATTTAAACTTGCTGCTGTGCAGGGCCGCCTTACGCAGCAAATATCGCTTCCTGGTGGCATCCCAAGTGTCACATGTTAAACTTGCTGTGTACACAAATATTGATCAAATGAATCTTACAAGTCAGCATTTCTGGCATATCTGGCCGTGTTTGAAAAGTTGGCAACAGCATCCAAACATTTTCGCAAGTCGGGTCTTTCTTCAGCCAAGAATCATGCCCTCTGCAGGAGGCTGAAAAAATGTAATCTGGCGCAATCATTCGCATGTGAATATGGCACTTTCCAACTGGCTCTTGTCATTCTGTTTGACCTCCGCAGCCTTCTGCAGAGTCTCGTGTAGCCTCTTTTCCAGCCACTCCTCTGACCTGAAGGACAGCTCCCGGTTGTAGTCCCCGGAGATCAGATCCTCCAGTAGTTGCTGCTCGTCGCCGGCGAGTTCTTCAAAGCCGTCCTCCAGGGTCTGGTTAAGAAATTTACGTGCGGCATCAGAAAGCGTTTGAAAAGTGCAAACGGAGAAAGAATATTTCAAACGGGAAACTGATTGTACAGAGCCAAAATATCTTCGCAAGGTGTGTTTAGTTATGATTGGAGTTGGTTTGTGGAAATAAAGCATTACTTTCCATTTCTCCTCCCACAGGCTCTTTGTGTAGTTGGGATTTTTTTCCCGGACAGCAAAGTGAAATGACTACCACTTTGCCTAGCACTCCCATAATAATATTTCATTTTTCCCTTTTCTGTTTAGAAATTGGGTCACTACGAACTCGGAGTTGAAAGTGTGACATTTTAGGGTCCCTGTTACACCTGACCTGCAGTTTGACATGGAGATACCATTGAAATTAACTTTCAAACTATTTTTTATTAGTTTGGCAAATAATTTGCAGGACTCAAATTAAAACATTTGCATAATTCTGATATGAAGAAATGTGCTCTTAAGTTACAACAATCATAAGTCATGCGTTACAGGGACTCCAAAAAAATTGCCCAATCACTTAGAAAACCTTAGTTAAAAAAGAAATGTTGAATCCTAGGGAGTCCACCAGTGAGACATAAAATATAAAACATTCAAGATTTCTACCAGAAGTATTGTTGAAAACGTTCAAGCTGTAATGTACCTCCTGTAATCGCTTGGCCAGAGCAATTTTCCTGGTGAGGGATACTTTGACTGCGAACGTGTAACGAGCGCCGGTGAAAAGACTGCCTGGAGGTCTGGCAGAGTGCGGTATGATACCTGGATGGAAGACGGGGGGAAAATAAAAAATGGTCTTGATGACAGAGCAGGGCGCTCGAAGACGCACATAACAAATCTGAATTTTTAAACAGGGAAATTATCACGGACTATCATGGTGCCATGGTCGTTGCCTACAACAGTGGCAGATGTACATGTACGTCGGATCGCATGAGTCAGTGAGAGGCTGCTTCTTGACACAGGTTTCTTGTTCTCACGCTCGAACGGCAGGAACACGACTTAAGAACACTGTTCTCCGAGCAGGATCACACACCATCTCCATGTCAGGGTTTTACATGAACACACAGAAAAACTTGTGAGACTTTGAGTATTAAACAGTAACCAAAAAAAAAAGAGATGGCTTACAAAGCCAGAGACAATGGGAAGTTTTGGAAAGTAAGCATACATAATTTTCCTTAACACATAAATGATTGTTCCTTTATAAAAAGAAAAGAATTCAGCCCAGTTATCTGAACATTAACCCTCGAAGAACGTATGTAGATGCCACCATGTTGCTTGTCACTACCTCCCAGCAATAACGCATTTGACCGGCTGACCCTCAAACAACTAATCCAGCTGTTCGTGAACATACGAGAACAAGTTGCCCCAACTTAGCTGATAGGCATTACAAAGCAAAGTACCTTGGAACACAGCAAGCCGCCCATATTTAGGAAGCACAGATGCAAACGGCTGGTACTCTGTTTCACCGTTCAGTCCGTACAGTTGCCGTGACAGTTGGCTGCCTGGTACAGCTTCAAAGAACACGGTCTCTCCGTAGAATTCCGGGTGCCAGTCCGGATTCAGGTAAAGAACCAGAGTGTATTCGTCCTGCGGAAATGTACAGACACCAAACGCTTTCCTAAATTCTAGACACAAATCACTTTAGGTGGAAAGGCTTGCGGTAGCACCATGCAAAGGAAAATCTCTCTTATGAGTATGTGTGGTTCTGAAAAGAACCGAAAGTATACTCCCGGTTCTTTTCTTTTCAGAAACACACATACTCATAAGAGATATCTTCCTTCACATGGGGCTACCGCAAGCCTTTCCAACTATTGCTGTCTTTCACCATGAATAGCCTGAAATTCCATTAAAGATTAAGTATAAAATTAATCGCTGCACACTTGGCACGTGGCAAGCTAAACCTAAACCTAACCCGGTCAAGCAAGACAACCAGATGACTGTGCGACAGTGGTGCACCCAGGATTTGTCGGGGGGGGGGTTGGGGCTTGATCCCAGAGATCCCAGAGCTGGGGAGGGGGCCACTAGTTGCACCACAGGGGGCTGGGATGTACGTCTGAACCTTTCCACTGAAGTTGGGAGAATGTTGAATGTTAAGAATATGCCATGCGCATTCCTGCATGTAGTTTTTTAGGGTTCAGCTCCATTTAGGGCGTGCACTCCCCCACTCCAAGTTGGATCCTCCACTGGATTTGTGACGGTGAATGGACCAATAGGAATTGGCCTCTTTTGTCATAAATATGCATGAGGTGGTGACCTTTTAGTCCCTATACTACCGTGTTTGGTATTGTGAAGTGTACGCGTATACCTCCCACTCGTCACAGTCCTGATGTATCCTGGTGTGGTCGGCAGATCTCACGATATTCAGAGAAACGTCATAAGGGTGCCACGTTGTTCTGTTACCGCTAGCATGCCTCGTGACATCAGACATTCTCTTCCACACAGCCGACGTTACAAACTTGTCAACCTTCAAAGACCAGAAGTACATTTTGCATACAAAAGCATTTAACCATTTGTGGATGGTGTAATACTTTGGCCGAAAAGCTCTCTTAAAAAAAGGCCAAACACAGCGGTCAACTTTTACTGCACAGCAAAGCACCAATCATACATACTGACTTGTTAGATCTTTTCGAAAAATGTTCATATCTATTCCTTCCGCAACCTTACATTCTGCAACTTTCCAGGGTGACACCAGGGAGGGATATTTGCTAAATCAGGCCATGCATAGCAGTCAAGTTCAACACACAGTCCACCTCCACAGAATCCTCAGCATTAACCTTACATAAACTAGTGTGGACTTGTGAACAAAAGATGTCCACACAATACAGGAGAGGAAGACGTTATGTGGACTTACGCACGTCCACAGGACGTTTCCCCTTCTCTGAAAAAGAAGTTTAGAGGCATTTTGGGGTAAGGATTATCGTCATAAAAGGAAAAGTAACAGTCAAGCAAACATTTTATAAAACTCCAGCTGAAAATCGTGTTCCCCGTAAAAAAAAAAAGAATATATTTTCAGTGAATTTTCTTAAATGTATGAAAACAAAGGAATGTCCACACAAGGTTCATATACATGTAAGTAACATAACACTTTGTTCATTTTGCTGCACAGCTAAATAAAACACCACCACGACAGGATCATGAGTGACTCAAACTGAAAGAGATGTGCCCTTACATTGAAACTCTTAACCCACTGGGCATTATCCACATCTTCGTCTTGCTGCAGGTCGTACGCCAAGTAACCCGTTTCCCCTTGGGCGGCTAAATCTTGCTGCAGCTGTTCTAAATCGATGGCCGAAAATAAATTGTCATACACGGCAATTGTCCTGTAACAAAAGAGTGCATTGTACGTGTGAAAAGTGAGCACTGTTTATGGCAATAAGTCAAATGAAAATGTCAGCATTCTACGTCAGTACTGTAGCCACGTTCTTTGGGGGGGCAGGTACATCCCCCGTGCCCCCTTGGTTAGGCCACTGAGTTTGCATAATGGAGGAATCTTTCAAGAACCTTGTTAAATATGACCCGCTCTGTAAAAAAGGGTATTAAGTTGCGCAATGCCAAAGCATGCACTGCCTGTTCTATTTAGAGAGGGCAAAATTTCTTCAAAAATGTGACTTTGTGTTCTTTCCTTTAATAGCCAATAAAATATTTATATTTTCAGAATTTGTGACAACAACATGGCTATTGATGAATAAAGATGAAAAAATGATCATTCAGTCAGAAATCCTATAAAGCATTGTGTTTCCAAGCGCTACACTTTATGAGCTTTTTCTCGAAAAATGCTTTTATTGAATCCGAAAATGTGGATATACAAATGTCTTGGTATCTCTGGAATGCAGCGCACTACAGGGGTCATTCATATCAAATTGTAGCTTTTAATGTACAGAATCCAGTCATATAAAACTCATCACCTGAATCTGGCGACTTTGTACCCGTTTTTCAAGAGCCGGTCACAAATACAATGTAGGTCTATGCCCTCACTAAAGAAACGCACATCAACACACTGTAGATGGCCTGGCAACAGCTTCCCACCTCCAATAAAAATAATCCCACTTACCCTGAGTGGGGCAAGTGGGGGGGGAGGGTAGGGGGGGCAAGAGTCCCAACAGGGGAGTTGCCTGCACCCCTTAGCTATGCCATTGTGTTCTGTCTGAAAGCTGGTTCATACTTCGGGCCAATACAAGAGCGAAGCGAATCAGACGTCATCATTTACAGCAAAAACTTGCTCGAGTTGAGCCGAGTTGAACTTTTTAAAATTTGAGTTTTTGAATTTTTTGTTCCTATTCTTTTTAAGGTCAAGTTTGAACTGGACTTCAGTGAAATTACGTGAGACTATTAAATGAACGTGTGATGAACATGTATGTGTGCTCAGTTTTTATTGGATTGGTGCCAAGATGTATGTAAGGCATCTTTAACATTAACAATCGTCATTCCTCCAATTTCAATATCATTTTTAACACAGTGAAGAAAGTAAAATCAAATAACTACTTTCCCCTGCTGTCGTAGAACTTCTGAACTTGCTTTTCTGCAAAATCCAGCACTTCTCCGGATTGGGCCAATGCCGACGAAAATGATGGCTGTGGTGTTGGCTCTGTGTCCACGAACTTATCCTGCAGTAAATACAGAACAAGAAATTTGGCACACGGAAAAAAAAAAAAACCAAACAAACAAACAACCCAACAAACAAACAAACAACCCATTACAGCTGGATCCCAACCTAATGAGCCAGTTCAGTTATTGCAACCGTGCACGTCAAAAACAACGTCGGAGGTCACAAAGATAACACCAATACACGCCTGAGGTCGACCCCATCAGTGCGGTTATACGCCAACCCAAGCATGCTGAATATGCCTGAACTCGTGTGCTTTCTTCTCAAACTACCTGTTTCCTGTTTCTGCTTCTAAAATGATTGTTTGATAACTTGACAGACAAAATTTTTCACACAGATGTGAAAAAACCTGCTTCACTTGAACATGCATGTATGTTCAGGTTTCACCTCCATTTATTAAAGCAATCCGCTCCGTTCCTAAATCCACCAAATCCCCTACAGACGAGATCAATGCTGACGGATCTTCTCAATATATCAAATGAACGAATGCAAAAGCATCCAATGGACCTCGTATCGGTACCTGCTTTGCCCGGTGGTGAGCTGAATCCTTACATTTCAGTTTACCAGAAATGGAAAGGAGTCCCTGGATGTACCCCATGGATGGAGGGTGGTACAGGGTAAGCAAAGACGAATCCCACAGGACAATTCTACCCATCCTGGGGGTCACGGTCAACATGGCATCTTGGTTCTCACTGCCGACGTCATTTCTGCTGTAAAATATCAAATCTCCATAGTCGTTAATCTGCCAATCCGGAGTTAGGAAAACCCTCCATGAATAGTCAGTATCCTGACCCTGTCCGCATGAGACTTCTGTCGAGTCGCCTCGTCTCAGTATCTCTGCTTGAACGCCGCACGGGATGAAGTTCTCCAGTTTGGGTGAACTTACATGTACGACATCCTTCAGGAAACAAGCATTTTTGTGGAATCTGGACGACAGCTGCGCAGTCCAAGGGCTGGTGTCGTTAGGAGTACACCCCTGAGCTGTGGTTTGGTACGTCCTCGTTTCCGGGGCACCCCGCAGTTTCCAGCGCGAAAACCGCAGCACGTAGTTGCGGAGGGCCGCTGCCATTGTCTCGGGGATGATCTCGTCCAGCACAACAATGGACTGGCCAGCCTCGGTCGTGTAGCTAAGGGTGGCATCTGGCCAGGTGAGGCCGGCAATCACAGGACCGCACAGGATCATTATTGCCATCCAGCACAGCATGATTCCACACACATGTGGCAAATATGAGGCGCCCTCTGGCTTCATGGTGTCAGGCTGCCTGAGAAAAGGGAACGCAAACAAGACATACATGTACATGTACGTATGTTTAATAACTTAAAAAGAAAAAAAAGCATTAACAGGTTTCAAAAAAGGAGGAAGTAGCCTCTCATTCTTCTTAACTTAACACAGTCTTCTTCACACTGTGATAAGGAAGTGTACATTTCGCCCGCACTGGCTAAAGTGCCATAAATAATACTAAACGAAGTCTTCCAAAGAGCACTACAGGAGGCAAGTTAGGACCTATGGCCTAGTGGAGACTATCTTGTGGGGATGAGAGTGATTTATCCCCAACTGCGTTAAAATCAAAATTTGTAGCATTTTTTTGAATCTTTCAATATAAGAATACAGTTCATGTATTTCACATTGGTTGACTCCAACATTAATTAAATTAAGAAGAATTAATTTTTCTTTCCCTGATTAGTGGCTCTGGATGATTTTTTTTTTTGGGGGGGGGGCTGAAATTGGACAATGGTCCATCTCTTGAGTACGAAGTTGCTACAGGTATGACAATATTGGTGCAAAACCAGACTGGGCTTAGCCTAAACATTTTATTTTTACTCTAGTGTTAGTAAACTTAAAGTAAAATTAAAAATATTAAACTTTAAAAATTAAAGTTAAATTAAAAATATCCAAGTCCCCCCAACATGCCCACAATGTGCATGTCCCCGCTTTTATCCAGCAAACCATTGTTAATCCGGGTTAGAGCATAAGCCTATTTGCAATCTTATGTACGCAGGCACGAACTTCGACCTGGCAACGGAAAAAAAGATAAACAAAACCATCACGCTCTGTGTCAACGTGTTGTGTTATACGAGCCATTGAGGGTGCATTCCACCAAATCCTTGGATTTCTGCGCACAAACTCATTAATACGATTTTTACAATAAGACATATCATAATCAGGAGGGATCATAGAGATATTTCTATAAATCCCGAATATGGGACTGGTAGTTTCCAGTTCGGGGTATTTCTTGCAAAGAAAGCCCCAACCTATGGGCTAGAGGCAGGCGGCTACATTCAGAGTGGAGTGCATAGTTTTACTACTATTATGGGAGTATCTTCGGGGAAAGGCAATTAAAAAAAATTGTGAGGCTAACCACTATAAAATTGAAACAAAAAGTGATCTTTTGGCCATAATCTTGAATTTCCAGTGAAAAAACAGAGGCCACCCTCTTCACGAGAGTCAGCAGGCAGTGCTAATTCGGTCTGATTTTGTACTGCTTAGTATGGGCGCGTATGTACAGTAGTGCCACCTTGAGGGAAGACTTCCCAAATAATTGTGAGTCTTTCAGTGCTGGCACTTTCTAATGTTAAATCTAAATTTGGGCTACCTGTTTAATTCTGAATTCATGAACCTAATTTCATGAATTGTGACATCAATGACACAGATTTATTGACCCCTTTGCTGTTATCAAAAGGTACGCGCAACCACATTGTTGCTGTATATCTTCCAAAATGGTGCCATATTACCCACAGTGCATTGTGCCCTGAGACTGCGAATAGGCTTATTGCGACTGTAGGAAATACATGTATTTCTCATGTCACAATATAAGCCCCCTTGCTCTCCCTCAGGGAGTAGGTAGGCCTAGGCTAAAAGTTATTAACATCAGCCTCGCTATGCTGGCCTTGCTAGCAGTCAGCAGGTGAATCTGAATCCTATAGGCCTAGTCGGCAAAGCCTACATCAGGAAATATCACATCAACTTGAGGTTTAGTTTGGGGCGTGGAGCTAGACATGTCTTCGGTCACTTATTTACAACTTACCATGCTTACAAAGTTACAAGCACTAAAACAGTAACAAAAAGAGTTTCATGGAGACATCCTAACACTCTTCATTGCAATGTTGCAACAATATGAGCCCTAAAATGTTGGGAAGAGTTCCAATTAATAATCAGCCATCAGAAAGCGATAGCATACATGTAAAGCACATCATGAAATGGGATTGGGAAAGACTTGATGCCACTGTGCACAAACCTCAGAACCTAGGCTTTATCATTACTTATCCGTCTGAAAAAAAAACCTTCTCCAGCAAGTTTCCCGTAAAATAATGACGAAACACCTAATAACAGGTGCGCATTCCTAACACCCCCCCCGAATACAAAACATACCTGAAGCCGTCAAGAAAACTGATTTTATAAATCAGCTCACAACTTTGCAACGTCTCGTCGACGAGTCGTAGACGTCGTCTGCTTAACCATGTTCTAAGTTAGTCTTTCCGACAATAGAGGGCGCATTAAAGCGAAAAGTAAATGTTATCGTCCTGACACATGCGGCACCAGCCATAGAGTTGGATATAATATTATATCCAACTCTATGGGCACCAGCTTAGCATCTTTGCTTAGCACTACGCTTGGTAGAAACATAGAAATCACAGCCCTTAATATCCAAAACACTGTGTCCCTTTTTCACATCGACCACTCCCCCCCCCCATTCTCTAGAAACATTGAGCAGACAGTCAACTTGTTTCTGTTTCTTCCTAATTTTTTTGCACGCATTCAGTGCCTTTGTACGAGGACTTGCCATTTTGAAAAAAATTAAAAACTAAAGGCAAAGCTTTATGATGCCCTACATAGGCCCTCGTAGAGTTCAAGCGGCAACTTAACTTGTGTGTTGTGATTGATGGGATGAGATTTTATCCGTGCGTACAAGCCACACACTGCTGGAAAAATGGTGTACCTAAAATCTTTCTGCGTTTTATGCCTGTTTTTCTTTACTGCATCTACAGCAAGTGAGGATCCTCCGGTGGTTACCACGAGCCAGGGTCGCATCGTCGGCACGAGGCTCGAGTTCAGCCCCATCGACCCTGCGCTTCGCCGGAGCGTGGACGCCTACCTCGGCATACCGTACGCTGAGGCTCCCGTCGGCCCGCTGCGCTTCAAACCTCCCGTCGCTAAGTCGTGGAGCGGGGAGCTTCAGGCCACCAAGCTGGGCAACCGCTGCCCTCAGCCCCCCTTTCCAATGGGAAATGTGACACTGACTGGGCCTTTCGACGAAGATTGTCTGTGTGTCGATGTGTTCGTGCCTCAACCCGTTGTGAGAATTTATCTGTTTTGAGTAGGCTTAGCAAGACCTGACCACTGCAGAGAAAAGTCAATGACATGAATGATGCACGCATGTGAAACTTTTAGGGCATTAAAGTGGGAAGAATTCTGTGTTTGGGGGTGTCAGATTGTAGATTTTTTAAAAACACTGGATGAAACATTACATGACATACTAGTACATTGTTTACAATGGTGTTGGTGCACACATCAGAATCTGAGGGATGCTGTCTTGGTTTTAAATTTAATTTAGTTAATTTTTTTTATTTTCTAAATTTTTTCAGCTTGTTTTTTTCAAAGAGTGGGGGGGGGTTTGACCCCCCACCCTGGATCCGCACCTGAATATCCTAGGGGAACTTGTAAAAAGCAGAAGGTAAATTTGAGAATAATGTCCATTTCCGTGGTGTGGTTTGGTTTCCTTGTAGCCTCCAGATGCAGCCGTTCTTGTCTACATTCATGGTGGTGCCTTCATCGTAGGAGCTGGTGTCATGACGGATATGTACCCACTTGCCATTGCTGCTGTTGGTGATGTGATTGTCGTAACACTGAACTATCGACTGGGGGCTCTCGGCTTTCTTTCAACAAGTGTGTTATTTGAATTTCCTGTTGACAGATAAAGCTATTAGTGGTAGAAATTTAGAGTTGCAAACCAATTTGCAAGGTTTTGGCATTGATGATCCACAGTATATCCACACAGAGTTATAAATGTTTGCTTGTGCGCAAACTGGCTTATGTGCTGGCCAATGCCAGCTGTTGATTGCTCATGGGCAATTTTCAGCGGAATGAGCACAGACCAGAAGCCAGGCAACAATATGCAGCGGAAAGGGCGTCAAAAGAAAAACATTTGCTTGTGCTCAGAATGAGCCAGTTCGACATTCCAACTATGCATGGTTAAATGGAACTGTGTCATAGGTCATATGAGAACATCAATATGCATGCGCGAGATTGGCCCTGTCATCGTTACTGTATGCTGACTCACTTTAGAAGTCACTCTTAAGCCGTGTTCTCATCCGGTGTGCAACGAAAGCGATGTGTGACTTTGTTCACAGTTGCAATGTGTTTCTTTTCACACTAGACGATGACGTCATCCGGGGTAACATGGGTCTTTTGGACCAGCGTCTAGCCATGGAGTGGGTAAGAGACAACATCAAAGGTATGCAAGAGCAAATGCAAAGTAACCAATCTTGCGTGCCCCTAAGATTTATTATACCTTTTATTCTCTTGTTTTGTTAAAGGAGGCTTGTCTCGTCATTTCCTGTTTCTTCTGTTACCTGGTCATTTGATTACTTCACGGAAACAGTTTTCCACACAGAGTAACAAAGAATCATATGCCACACCCACATATTCAGATATCACCCCTTCCTGCTTTTTACAACCCTCCACTACCTGGTCACTGGGAAGGAAATTTTTTTTTGCATCTTTTTTTCCCCTTTATCATCCAGTTGTGCAAGGGAGGAAAAATCATTCTTTCATGCCTGCATTTTGTAATTATGGAATTGAAATTCATAGCCTATTTCTGTTTGATTTTTTTTCTTATTGTGGTCAGCTTTTGGCGGAGATCCAGCACGAGTGGCCATCTTTGGCGAGAGTGCTGGGGGAGGCTGCGTAGGCCTACACATGGTGTCACCGGGCAGTGGAGGTCTCTACCGAGGTGCCATCTTAGAGGTAAAAAAAAACCAAAATAGCATTTGTATGAAGAGGAATAAAAAGAGAGGGGACATTGGTCCAGAGTTTATCCCCAGTTTCCTTGACACTAAATGACCGAGAAAATATCTATCCCTCCCTGGATGGGATACCAGTCCATCACAGGTTGCTCCCCAGCTAATGCCTCCACCCATTTTTACACCTGGGTTGAGAGAGGCAAGGAGGTGTAAAATGGCTTGCTCAGGGACACAACACCACACAAGTAGCTGAATTCCAAACCCTGACCCTGTGAAAAGGAGTCAGGAACACTGACCACATTCTCCTAATAGATTTGGGTGCATCAGTTCATCCTCTAGTATTTATACAGCCCTTGGGGCAGTCCTTGTGAACTTTGTACCCGAGTTCTCCATTATGGACCTAGGTATGGTACCTGTAACCTATTTCACAACTTCCTCAAGTAATGTTTGAGACAGAGAAAGAAAGGTTTACCATTCCTTTGGGGGGGGAACAATTTTGGCAGAAATTTTTGTGTGGGGGGTACTTAGGTATGCAGATATTTATGCCAGTCGGGCGCCCCAATACCTGTGATTCCTGTCAGTGCCCACCATTTACACCTGCTTGTTATTTGTCAATCCAACCTGCCAGAGTATCTTGGTTAGGGAAAAAATGGAGCTGTGCCACAGGGCGCGCTCGCTGACCCGGCGGGCATCCACCACCGTTGTAGGCAAAGACTGTGGCACCGCACCCCTTGTATTTTGGATTTACATATTCATGCCTCAATACTTTATAAATGGACAAAAGGAAAATGCAAAGTACTGAAGTAAACAGGTGAGCAGGGGATCAGAATAGGGGTAGATTAAAAACCAAATTTGGGGGTCCAAACTTCCTCATAAAGGGACTCAAAATTTTTTTTTTTGATTTTTTTTTTAATGTTTACACCTTTTATGGCCTTCTGGAGGTGAGGCTACATTTGGGGGCTTTTATAAAGGCTCTGGGAAGACACAGAAATGAAACAGAGAAAAATAATGCCTTTCTCTCGTTCTTTTTGTTCTTAAAAATCCTTGGAACAATGTTTGTTCAGTGATAATGATAGAACACGGCACAGGTAGTGACCATGATATCACTTTATGGTTTGTTTGTGTGAAAATGAACCTCACAGTCGGGTGTATAGCGCACGAAGTTGAGTGCCAACCAGACACTTATCTGCTGTAGTGGTTGGTGATCATAGGAAACGGTGTGGTCACATGGTAGCTTGACAGTTTCTGATAGAGCTCTGTTGACGAAATGACTGAGCAAAGACGTGTTTGTTTTTTTCACACGTATCTGTCCATTCCCTAGAGTGGCGATGGAGCTGCCCCTTGGGCAACTATTCCAGGAAATAAGGCCCCTAGTCGAGCCTTCGCTTTTGGAAAGCTAGTTGGCTGCGAACGCCAAACGTCGGAAGAGTTGCTGGAGTGTCTGCAGCAGTTGGAGGGATTTGACACGATCATCGAAAACCAATATGATAAGGTTTGTTTTGCACCCAACTTTGGTCCAAAAGCTAGCCAAAAACACACCATAAAATTTGCTTGTGGGTTACTGTTTAACCTCATGTTTTGATGTGTTTTTTGCTTCCAAAACCAGTTTTGTTCTTTTTGAAATGCTTCTTGCAGTTACTTGCAGAATTGGGAGGGGAGATGTTGGCCTTTGTGCCTGTTGTTGATGGCAAGGTCATCCCTGCTGACCCCAATGACCTCTACGAGCAGGGTGCCGTCAACGACGCAGCTTCCATCATCGGATCTGTTGCAGATGAGGGTATGCTTATGGTCAGACTTTTCTTCCCCAACAACACCGATGAAGCCCCGTTCGTCGACAGCGACACCTATGACACGTATGCCAAACTTTACCTGGCTGGGGCGGTAAGCCACGAGCCGATTGTCGCAGATGCAGCCAAAATGATGTACTCTGATGCTACCTGTACAGCTCCAGATGCGCCGGACTGCGACTATCTCCAGAGCCTCTCGCAGGTCGTCGGCGACGTCATGTTCGTCTGTTCTGCGGTGAAAACGGCAAAGGCCTTCACCAAGGCGGGCCGTAAGGTCTACCACTTCTTCATGAATCACATCGCTACCACAACCTTATTGGGCAATAAGTGGACCAAGTCTATGCACGGCGACGATCTCATTTTCGTCTTTGGTCTGCCTCTCGTCGCTTCTGCAAACTGGTCATACACCGAGGATGAAGCTTGGATGTCGATTCAGACCATCAAGTACTGGGTGAATTTGGCTAAAACTGGGTAAGCTGGTACTGGTTTTAAGTTCTGGGCAGTTACAGAAATGACAACTTGAAAATGAAATGTGCTTTTTTGACATGTAATTCAATCCTGCCAGGACAGATATTGCTGAGAAACATCCCAGTTATCTCATACAAGAAGAATAATCCAGTGTAAACCTCCAACTAGGGGCCAATTTCATGGAGCTGCTTAAGCACAAAATTTGCTGAAGCGTGGAAAAAATTGCTTAAAAAAACAAAGGTTACCAGCTCAAACTCTACCTATTGTCATGCTAACCAAAAGACAGCTAAATACGACCCCAAAACAATATACATCACATGGAGTTTGGGCTGGTTACCTGATTTGTCAAGCAAGGTTTCTCGCGCTTAAGCAAATTTTGTGCTTAAGCAGCTCTATGAAATTGGCCTCAGATTTCATTTCTTTTTTCTGAGCAGATTGAAACTCACTGTCAGACTCACTGTTAAATCACTCATTAAATTGTCCTCCTACCTCCCACGCCCTTTTCCCAGACTACCTTCTTTTTGGTTTCAGTTTCCATTTCAAAACAATTGCAGCACCTTTCAAATTCATATTTTTGTAACAATTTATGGCTTTTCAATCAAATTCTGTAGGATTATTCAGGCTCAAAAGCATCTTGGCTTCAGTTGAAAAGTTTTCTTGAAAATATAGTGGTCATCACTAAAAGAGTGGAGTCTCCAAACTCTCCTGTAAAAAAAAAACTTGGATGAAAACTGTTTTTATTTTTAAGCGGCCTAATATTAACCCCTTCTCACCGGGACGTGGTAAAAGACGCCGTGAAAATTGAGATCCCTTGGCCCGCTTTTCAGCTATTATTCTCGGCCCACGCTCGAGCGAACACGGTGAAAGAAGGCGCACCCTGGCT